ATGGTTAAGGCTGTTGAAAGCAGAAGAAACAATTCAGGTGTTTGCAATATTAAAATAAAACAAAATGAGTCAATTTTGACAAGGAAATAGCAATCATTTATCTAATTTTTCAGTGAGGCAAGGAAAGGTAAGTTTATTGGAATAGCACAGTTCATACACAGGGCTCAAAGTGCTTAACAAAATACTTAAATAATCACGTTAAAAAGAGTAAAGATAAAAACACTCAGTTGAATGCACAGCTAAAAAGAACTGTTATAAACGGGGATTTGAACATTGTCAGAGAAAAATGTAAACATTTTAGGAAGCCTGCCCCTAAAATCTGAAATGCTGTTCCCCATGTTTAAGAATAAGAAGAAGGTTCTTTATTCGTCCCCCAGTGGGGAACTTTCAAATTGATGAATACACATACACATATACTTTCTTAAAGAATGCTCACAGCACTTTAAATTGCTCTACCAACTGAGCTACTGTCCTGGGTCCAGGGTTGGAATCCCGGTCAGAGCAGAGCCTTTCTGAGTGGAGTTTGCATGTTCTCCCAGTGCCTGCGTAGGTTTCCTCCGGGTACTCCAGTTTCCCCTACCACTAAAAACATGCACAATAGGTCTGGCATACGCCTCCTGCACTGGCGACCCCACTCCCATTAGAGTTTCGCTTTTCAGCCCGAGCCCGAGCAGGCCCGGGCTCCTTTTTTATTTTTTTTATGATTTTCATACATAATTATATGCATATATATATATTTACTAATAATAATGTCAGTTGATTGACAACAAGTTATTAAAAAAGTACAAATATTAATAACACCGTAACTGGCGTGTCCTACAGCAGTAGCAAGCTGTGAACGCAACATCCCTGTTTTTCCTTTTGAATGCTACGGTCAACAGCGAACACACGGAACATTAACAGAAACGGATAGAGTGGAGGTACAAAACAAATTCAAAAGTGGAGAGCTAAACTTGCAATTGGAAGGTGAGTGCGCACAACAAGGGGAATCAAATGTGTCGGGTTCTGTCGGGCTCGGGCCTATTACACAGTAGGGGTGTACTTTCTCCCGCGATTCGATTATCGATATGCATTTGCCAAGTATCGATATCGATTTTGAAAAACATTTTTTTTTTAAATTGGTATCAATACTTAATATATGAGTACATTACGCATCTCCATTCTATTTATCATGAAATAAAGAGTTTTTTTTCTTTTATTTATGCCATAAATTGGCATATTGTATATTTCTGACCAATATATCAATAATCGTCATATCGTGATAAAATCGTTATCGTAATATCGTTATCGTGATATTATTGTTATCGTGATATTATCGTTATTGTGAGCTTTGTATCGTGTATCGTATCGTATTGTGAGGTACCCTTAGGTTCCCACCCCTATTACACAGCCTTAATTGGCCGGGCTTATCCGGGCTCGGGCTTAGTATTAGCGGGCTCGGGCCGGGTCGGGCTTGATTTTTCAGGCCCGAACGAAACTCTAACTTCCATCTCAGTGTGGAGTGAGAGACAAATGCCCAAAAATAACAATTGTAAACCGCTTTGTGACTCTGGTCTGTGAAAGGCGGTATATAAATAAAGATTACTTACTTACTTACTTACTTACTGTCGCCCACTTTAGTCCTTACTCTGGGCACCAGCAGGAGGCCAGTCCCTGTGCTCCTTAGAGTTATTTACTTTTCAAACCTTTAAACGATTGTTTAACAACTTTCAGAGCCCAGAGTAAGTTTAGCCATCATGAAAATAGAGAAAAAATATGGGTACAGACTTTCTATTTGGAAAAAAAAAACACTTTCCTTTTTCAGCTTTACACCAACGTATATTTCTGATCACTACTTCCCTCATTCATTCATAATAGTCACATGGGAGTGCTAAGTATATACATGTTTAAAAGACTCCTTAAATCATCCATCACCATGCCAACACGCAGTGGCCCCCCCCCCCACACACCCATATGACTCCGCGGGGGCCTGCAGTTGGCCTGTCACACAAATGGCTGTCCATAATTATGCCTGCAGATAAAGCCGGGTCCTGCATGATTAACTGTGTGACTGTTTGATCACATTTGACTAATTTGTGGCATAAATCTTGAGGCAGACGCCCTGCTCGAGACCATTAGCCCCGCCGCTGACACCCGGGTGCTCGCGGGGCTCTTAGCAGCTCCACCGGGTGGCCTTTGAGTGCTGCAGCTGTGGAGAGCAGGCGGCACAAGTGGACGTGAATACAAAACATGCTGAGTGCGGGAGTAAAATACCAGTCAGATCTCACAGGAGAAGGTTTGGGAGAGTTTTTTGCCACCTCATATTTACTTGCCCATAGTAGTACAGGTGCACCGTGGAGCTTTGCTGATGGCTGTCCACAAGCTGCTGGTTTATACTGGAATATGTTACTGACCGGCTGGAGACGTTTGAATTAGTAAATGGTTAACTTATGAAATGTTCCGTCAGCCAGTTTTAATCAATCAGAAAGTCCAACATGATGATGAAGCGTTGCATGCAAACTTGTTTCAACATGCAGGACAATTTGAGAAAATAGCATGGCACTGAAAAAAGTTGTTACTGTGAGTGAGCTTGTGACTCCACAAACCTAAATCTCCTTCAGTGTGTTTCAACAGAAATGTTGTTCCTATGGGTGTGTGCTACTATATAATGAAAGAAATCATATCAATGTCAAAGGAGAATGTTCCCATGTCTGGTTTTAATGCTCTATGTACGTCTGTTGTATATGGAAGTATGTGGATCAGTGGTCCCAAACACAATGAAGGACTGGACCTAAGCAGGACACTTGGACTGGCATGCTCTAGCAGTTATACGGACTAGCTAGTCTCTCCCAAGGCATTATCGTTTTTACACTTTTCATATTGTTTTTTGTTACTGCAATGTGACGAGAACTCTACATGTAAAGTTTCCTCAGAGACCTCAGAAGTTTTCCAGCAGAAATCTACTTAGTGGCAATTTTATTTAATTTTGTATAATATTTCTTTTGAAGTAAGCTTTAATGAAAGGATATACATTTGTACTCTATAGAGCAGTGTTTTTCTAGTTTTTCTGCTCATAGCAGATGAATTTCAGAAGTATTTGATTGGATAAACCACTGGTCTGTTATCTTGAATGACGTATTCCTTCAACCACTCACATCGAAGCACACAATTCAGCACACTGTGTTGCGGGGTCGCCAAATGCCGGCCCAAAAAAAACACCTAGAATCATTTTTTTGGCAAAAAACATAATGTAATTAACTTGGACAATCCTGATTCTGTTTTTGTCTTTCTGTCTATTTATTACCTTAGAGTACTTAAACCAAACGAACATTTGACTCTTAAAACACACATATAACAACATGGAACCATCAACATCTAGCCTCATATTGCATCAAAAGTGACATCCGTGTCTTAATTCGTTCGTATTTAAACTTTTTTTTTTATTCATGGACTTTATGTCCGCCATCTTGGTTTGATTTGGCTGAGACGCACAAGAAGGCGGTGCAAACCCGACGTAACACCGGCGATCCTGATTGCTGATTTTATTTTGATCTCCTGAAGGAGTTTGGTATGCGCTCAATCTCAAACCCTTGTGTTCAGCGAAACGCCTCTGGTGGAGCATGGCGGAATAACAGTTGGGGCGACAGTAGCTCAGTTGGTAGAGCATTGGCCTTTGAGCCAGAGGGATGTGGGTTCGAGCCCGACTCTCACAATCGACTCCCACCGTCTGTTGTCGCTGTGTCCTTGGCAAGACACTTAACCTCTGGGAACACCAGCCACAGTGGGGCGGCTGTAAAGTGCCAAACTGCCGTTGTGTCCTTAAGCAAGACACTTTACCCCCATTGCCTAGAATGAGTCTGGTGTGTGTGTGAATGGTTGGTGGTGGTCAGAGGGGCCGATGGTACAGACTGGTTGCCTTGATTCTGTCAGTGTGCCCCAGGGCAGCTGTGGCTACAGTAGTAGTTTATCACCACCGTGTATGGAGTTAATGAATAATGACATGTAAAGCGTCTTTGAGTGTCCAAAAAGAGCACAATATAAAACCAATGCATTATTATTAACTACAAGGGTCTGGCAAGAGTCAGGCTAGTGTTTTTCAACCACACTCGTACAGTAGGTGTGCCTTGAGATGCTGTTTGGTGCGCCTTTGGAAATCATAAGATACCACCTAATTGGTAAAAAAAAAAAAAATGAATGAAAATAAAACAATGTGAGGATATTATAAATATTTTGGCATGCTTGTTTGTTTTTCCATATAATACAGTTTGATGAGAATTACTTTCTTTGTTAATAAAGGCTGCAGAGTTTCAAGTGTGCTTCAGTTTCAGCTGGTGGTGTGACATATGATTGTTTTCAATGAAAAAGGTGTGCCGTGGCACAAAAAGGTTGAGGAACCCTGCTCTAGAGGGAATATCTATACCACACTAATATTACATTATTTAAAACATAAAAAAGGCAATATGTTGACTGATAGAAAGTGGAAACACACATCTGACCTGTGCTGCATTTGGTCACGGTACCAATGCTCTGAACTGTAGGGGTGGGACCAGATCGAACCCTGATGAGTATTGAAGGTTATAACACTGCAGAATTGGGTATAAAGTTCAAAAGCTATTATTAAATATATTCTTCAACAAAAACCATCCAAAATGCAGAAATCTAGAGGCCATGCATTTTTTTCAATATTGTCAATGTCTTGATCCTGTGAACCAAATCTGTTCTTTATTTTTTTGGGTCTCGATCGTGTCCCAAGAGAGTAACCATAACTCTTACATTTAACACAATGACACATCTACTTTACACATTTACTCCCATTCCCAGACTGCGTGAGCTCTCCCGATAAACACTACATATTTGGCAATGCAGGAGTGGCATATTATAATATCATGAGCAAACATGAGCTCACAGGTCTAATTATGACACGGGGGAGAGCGAGCGTCTCCAAGAGAGGACTGCTTACGTGTGCACAAGCGCCCGGTCATTTGTAAACAGGTAACGATGCGGGCCAGGTGTACCGGCATATGCACCGCGGAGGAGCCAGGGTTGGGGCTGTGAGTCCAGAGGAGGCGCAAGACGGTGGAAAGAGGGAGCTGGGAGGAGGAGGAGGTAATTAGGGTGAATTTACAGTGCCCTGTGCCAAACAGCTAAAATGGCCAACTGGGCATGGAGATTTATTAGCGGGTTAAATTAGGCTGCGTGTTGGGGGTGGGAGGGAGGACCGCCTGCAGATGGTGATTGTCACAATGATTATTACAGCTGTAGAAGAAGACAACACTGATGAAACATATGCTGCACAAACTCGCCGCTTCTGTCGGGAAGTGGCGAGAACGAGGCAATGCGGCTGGGAAAGTCTATGTCAATGTCAGTCTGAGTTTAAGGGAGAAATATGAATGGACAGCTGGTAGCAATACGGTAGAATTGCTTTCGAAATAGACATTGAGCAGTTGTTTGCTGTGGTTAAAGAAGACATGTTTCTGCCTGCTTATATTGTGGATCTACTGTACGACACCCATGGATCATTTAGTATGTTTACTATCTCAATTTTGATTCATTTTATGAATATGTCAAACCAGTTATCGCACTGCTGCTTTGAGTCTGGCCCTGCTCATCTTTGCCCCAACTTAGCCATCTGTGATTTTATTTTTCTTTGAGCAAAAAAGTATGTGCAAAGCTGCCTAATCCTCCTTTCATCCCAGGCACAGAAAAGTAAGCAAATAATAAGCAATGTTCAGAGATGCCTTGAGAGCTTCCACATGACTTGGACATGCATGAATGTCTCTTAAAAACAACTTTGAGTGTAAAAAAAACAAAACACAAGGGAATAAAACTATATCATTGTCAAAAAGCTGTGAACAGAAAGAGGAAAAAGTCAGCTGCCACCAGTACTAAAAGCTGCTGTATTGCTGCGGTATTGTTACTATGTGCCCTGCCTTTTTACAGTCATCCTAAATATCACTACAAAGTTGCCAAAAAACGTTTTAAAGAAGTGTTTAACCCTTTCTCTGTGGTACCAGTGCTTAGTAAAGTATCCCAGAGGTCACTGTCCATATGTCTTGGCATCTACCAGTGTCTCCATCTCCTCCACCATTCATACAAAGATCCACTGATTGATCTACATGAATAATAATAATAATAAAAGTGGAAATAGTAAACATTGGCTCATGGCCTTGGAAACAATAGGTCTGCAAATGACACACATTTTGGCACAAACCAACGCCGCAAAAAAACCCAGTCCTTTAAGAATTCCGTGCAGTTTAAACGTCACAGCCCGTCTTTACATTCCTTTCAGTTCGGGACAATATCAATTTAGTCAAGTGCGTGATTAAGGGCGCTGCTCGGGCCCATTTAGCATGAATCAATGGACCTCCAGACGGAAGGTTCCCGAGTCTTTGCCTCCATTTGCATCCTTGAGTATCCTTGATCAAATCTGCAAGGCAAACAGCTTTAAAACCTGATGGGGGATATTAAACTTGCAGATTGAGGCGGACTCACAGCTCCTCGCCTGGGCAGGACCGGCCGGAGCGCAGGGGTGAGCCGCCGTGCTGCTGCTGCTGGTGCTGCTGTGAACAAGGACACTCTGCGCGCTCGTACCTTCATGGTCGGTTTACATTTGAATGTCTGACTGACGGGGAACACGGCACAGTTATGGTTTCCCCAGGGCCCGGCGCAGGAGGAAGGAGGGAATGGGCAGATAAAGTCGTCCCCGGAGAAGGGGAGAGAGGGAAGGAGAGGGGTGAGAGCAGGGCCACGCTGGGTACAAACGAGTCGTGTCACAACGCTGGAGTTTAATGCCACATTTTGACACTGATACGAAGACATAGATGATTCAATATGATGAGTATATTGATAGGTTTGTTTATATCATAACTTTATTTGGATCATTAACTAACTCCTTTCTACGATGTAGGGCACATTTGATATGTAATACTTACATTGGGGTTTTATCTTAGTATTTATCTGAGTATTTGGACTGAATCCAACACGACACCAGAACGTCCACACTGAAGTTTTGATGTGGAAAAATCATTCTAAAAATGCCTTTTGCCCAAGATTGACCTCTAGATTTGTCCTGGCTCTGATCACACCCAAAACAACCTTGTCTGGGTGCAACAAAAGCAGGATTTATCTAGCATGACTTACAGCCCCTGCCTGAGTCTCTGATGGCAGCGCGGGGTCATACAGCGCGTGTGAGTGCGCACAACCGCGTGGATGAGAGCGCATAAAACAGGGGCCGCTGCTTCAAGCTGTTCTGTATCAGTCAAACGGCTGCGATGTGACGGGCCCTTACACAATGTGCCAATGAGACCTCTGAGGGCAGTCAGAGCAGTGGCTTTGCTCAAGTTCAACCACACTTGTGCTTGGATCTGAATATACTACTATTCTGACCAGGGTCAGATCATAACTATACATGTTTACATTTTAATCTAAAAGACATTTAAAAACTAAACTGGTCCATGGACTTCCATACAGAAAATTCCAGTATTCATTTGGCTGCTGACATAACAGCTGGATTAGCTTCAATCCTTGCCAGCTAATTGTGTGAGCGATGGCGGTGATCTGCAGCTTGCTATAAATGCATGGACGCAAAGATCTTTCAAAAAAACAAGTGGGTGTGTAAATGAGAAAGGACAATAACATTGTTCACGTGTACATAATTGACATTACACATTTATTATAATAATCTATTCTACTTAAAATAACAATTAAGGATCTATGTCTCTCCATCTCCCACAAGCTACTGACTCACGCCATTCATATCATGTTGTATGATCTCAGAAGCTAAGTAGCACAGGGTCTGTTCAGTAAAGTGATGGGAGACCGCAGGGAACACCAGGTACCCAAGAGACTTATAATAATTATTATTAGTGTAATCTCAATCTGTGACAATGGAAATAGAAAAATATAACTTACCCCACAAATGCAAGATTGAATAGTAATGAAATGTCTGTATTTGATCATTTCAAGGCGAAGGCCAAGTTTGATGCCAGGCTGTGACGATCCAGGTAAAGCAAAACCAAGTTATTCAGTACACCTTTAACATACAAATAGGAAAAAGTGGGGGAAGAGCTGTACCCAATTAATATGGCTTAACCCCAAACTGGCAACATGAGCAGTCATGGGTCCAGTAGGTGGAACAACCAAATATGGATATACAATTCATCACTTCCTCCTGTATACACATATACTGTATCTGTGCAGAGCCTTCCCTGTACACTGCAAACTGAGACATTTTGGAGATAATTGGATTGGATTCATTGTCGCAGTGAAATAAGCAGCAGCAGTCCTCAGTACATACAGTAATAGGAGCCCACTGACCTGTGATGTAATGAGCACAATCATAAACATAGCCGTTAGCTGATTGGCTGCCACTGTCGGTCTGGACCCAGTCATCGCACACTTTACTGGACTGGCACTGGACTCTGCTGATTCAGTTATCCCATAGAAGCAAATGGGCAGCTTGGTTCATCACCGCTCCAACTGTACTGGCAGCCTCGTCTGCCAAGATGCAGCCTGTTGAATGGAGCAATTAATATGGCTTTTTAAGAGATTTTACATCTTATTAAAACAAACGCGGATGGACTTCAATTCTTGTATGAAGTAATATTATTGAAATAGTTTGATTTACCCCAAAGTGACATTAAAGTTAAAGATTTAAAGGGGACATGCACTTTAAAGAGCTTTTCAAATTTGTATGTGTGACTCGTTCAGGTTTGAAAGGTTTTTTCATATAATTCATAATTCATATTTTAGTGACAATCCCCGTTCCAGTGATACAATTCACATCCACAATTTTCAGCAAGGAAGCAAATAGATTGATTCCTATATTCAGATTTAAAAAGTTAACAATATACAATCACAGGGACAGGGAAAGGCATAAATCACGTAACATCCATTTAGCTGCAGCTAAAATGGCTGCCATTGTGGAGCAAACACTGCAGCCAACATCTTTGAAACATTGGTACAAATTATGTCTAAACCTACAGGACATGTGGCTGCTTGTCTGGACACTGGCACCGCACTCCGAGACACGAGACGTACTTTTACCTCTCCATTTCCCACAATTCAGCGCTTTCCTCCCCCCTCCCGGCTGCCCGCGTGCCACTGTCCGCTCTGTCAGGACTGATGAGGGTCAAGACGGCTGCGTTTCTCTTAAGGAGCTCGTTTGCATCCCTCCGGCAAACGGCCAGTCAGTCGCTTGTTCAAAGGACCGGCTAATCCAATCAGATTGCGGGATCGGCGGGGCCTTATCGCCGCGGACACGGGCATCTGCGGGGAGCACATCACAGGGCATCAGAAGGAGCCGGCTGCTGATTGGTGGAGACAGAGAGTCGGAGGGAGAGGAGCTGGGAGTTAGGGGAAGTGACAGGTGCGTAGAGGGGAAGGTTGGAAACTGCTCTGGCCGTGTTGTGACGCGCGCCGCTGGAAAGGCATGGATACATATTGGGCGTGAAATACGGATTAGAACGCTTGGATGTCAGCTCTATTGACTCATCTCTGTCTGTTGGTGACACTATGAGGGAAGTGGCATGAGTTGGATTGAATGTGCGCAGTGGGGGGAACAGGAGCAAATGTAAAGTGACTGACGCAAAAGGAAGCGGGTGCGCTGGGTTATGACTGAAGCAGTGCACAAGGCTTTGTGGCACCAGATAAGTGAGAGACGGACAGCTAGTCAACTAGATTTCAGTTGTTTTATTAGGCTGTTTAATGGGCTGTAGCAAACAATAATATACTGTGTGAGATTAATAAAGTATATCTTATCTTATCTTACTGTACCTGTGTCTCAGGTACAGCGTTGATATTTAGTGTAACAGACAAACTGCCAACTGCACATTCATTCTTGGAATTCTTGGAATGTCCAGCTATAGTGGCATTTAGCTTCTCAAATTGCATTCAAAAAATGCAGTTGAAAAATATAAACTAGTTCATGAACTACCACCCATTTCTAATATTGCATGTGATGTTTTATATTTTTGGACACCCAAAGATACTTCACATTCTTTTGTCATTCACTCCATACACAGTGGTGGTGAACTTCTACAGTAGCCACAGGTTACCTGGGGCAGACTGACAGAGGCGAGGCTGTGCCATCAGCTCCTCCTCCCACCACCAATCACTCACTCACACATCAGACTCATGTGGTAATGTGGCTTGCCTAAGTGTCTTGCCTAAAGGACACAACAGTAGTTTGGCACTTTACAGCCACAGCACTGTAGTAACTGGTGTTCCCAGAGGTTTCTACTAAGCTGGCCCTGCTGTGAGGTCTAGGGCAGGGGTGTCCAAACTTTTTAGGAAGAGGGCCACTTTAGTTCACCAGAATAGTCCCGGGGCCGATATCACAAACTGAAAAACTGTCTTGACTGGCATCGGGCTTTATGGCATCGGGCTTTATGATGATCTATAACAGAGCTGAAGTTGGCTGAAGGACAAATGTTTACCATCTCACCAGCTACCTTAGCACTATAAAAGGGAAGTGACACAATCAAAAACCATGTTAGTAGAGTAGGTGCAAATTTAAGTCAACAATGTACTGGGCTTTAGAACAAGGTCAATGCTGGTTGAGCTGAAGTTGGATGGATGACAAAGTGAACTTGTGTTTATGATCTCAAAGACTATTTTGGAGTAGCACATAAGGGAGTAGCAGAGAGGGCCACATAAAATGACACTGAGGGCCGCATTTGGCCCCCGGGCCTGAGTTTGGACATGCCTGGTCTGGGGGATCAGGCTATGGTGCTAGACTTTTCTGTCTGAAAAAGAATTTACAAACCTGTACTAATATAAATTCAACACTTGCCTTTCAGTTTGAAAATCAGGAACCTTACTTTGATTTGGTTTATCACAAGCTTCTGAAGAGGAATCAATTATGGAATTTACAGCAATTATATATAATACATGTTAGAAATATAAATGTTTATACTTTTTTTTTTCATTCCTGTCAACTTTAAAGTGAATCTTAGTTATTTTCTACATTGTGGAGATTCAAAACCGAGCACTGTGTAGAACATCCCAGACTTTACTTTTAGAGCTATTCTGAAAAGATAAAAACAAAACAAAACCAAGCACATGTCTACTCAACAGAAATGTCCAGTTAGATCAGTCTATAAGCACTAGTGCACTAGTGCACGTCCCCTCCGGCCCATGGGGAGGCAGACAAACCTTGTGTAGGTTAAACTCTAACATTGAGCATATGGCCTATACAGCATCACCTGCACATCTCACAAACTCTGCCACGGTTCCAGAGGTGAGCCGGCTGGGCGAGTCTCCGTGTCCCGGGATGTGGCTGGACACGGTGGGACAGCAGGGACTAGGGCAGGAGCAGACTTGGCCGTCCTTGTACCGTGCTCTGACTGCGTCCCCTCCGAGACTGGCGATCCCATCCGTCTCCCCCTCTCCCTCCCACGCGCTGTCGACCCAGGTGCCACCATCAGCCGTGGTGCGTTGGGTTCTACGCCGGCCGCCCGGTGGAGGCAATGGAGCGCGGCACAGACATCCATATAGGAGCACTGTCAGCCGCCTCCCACGCGCATGTCCCCCTTGATCATTAGCTTGGAGTGGAGCCAGGTTGGAATTAACTAGCCGGACTAAGTGTGCTTTTAGACATTACAGAGTTCAACACGGATGCATCAATTATATTACATGTAGTTGGTCAATACCTATAATTTCAACAAGATGATAATGAACTCGTCCATTTCCATCTCTGAATAGTTTGGGAACTGATGAGGTTGTATATTGTCTCTGATTTTGGTGGGTAATGCTCTATCTCCAGAAAGTCAGGTTTTAGTCAACAGGAGACATGTTGGGTGCTGTCTGTATTAAATTATAGAGCCTTTTTATTTTTCAAAATCAGGCAAAGTGCTATTAGCGTGGCAGTTCTTTTAATCATAATTGTGGTAGGGTTTTAAAGTTGTGAAACTCATTATTATTTGTATGTGACACAATACTATCCCTTGAACCAGTAGTGTGTGTCACCAACAACATTTCATACACTTCCACGAGTAAGGAAGGGTTAGATGTGGTATAATAAGTTAAATAAAAACAATATATTAATTGTCATCAAATTGCCAATTGCCTGCCTCTTTGTTAATGAAGAGGTTTACACACCATCCTCAGCCAAGTATTATTTTGTATTAAATTAAGTAAGTAATCTTTATTTACTATATATTGCGCCTTTCACAGACTAGAGTAAAAAAACGCTTTACAATTGTGGTCATTTGTCTCCACACACAAACGGGAGTGGGGTACAGAAAGTGCATGCCATACATATTGCACATGTTTTTAGTGGTAGAAAAAAACGGAGCACCCGGAGGAAACCGGAGCAGACATGGGAAGAATAATGCAAACACCACTCTGAAAGGCCTTGTTCCGACCGGGATTCAAACCCACCGTGCTGCACAAGGTAATAAGGATGTTGATTCAACAACAAAATTGAAAAGGGCACGAGAGGGAAAAAAGCATGCGTCCAATAACTGTTTTGTGTTCTTTTCCATAGACAAACTTTGACATAAGTAAAAGAAGCTCTCACGATTCCTGCCCACAAGTCGTGAAATCGTCTCTCGCACTGACAGAAGATCCTCTTTGTGTCCGAGTGCCTCTACCTGCTTCTGCAGCCGTGTCTGGACAGAGCCGTGCGGAGCTCCTGTGAGGCACCCCAGGCTCCGCTGTCCTGATTAGTCATTTATCAGAGCTGGCAGCACAGACCCACCATAATCACTCTTCTCCTGGTGCTGGTCCGTGTGCAGCCGCTGATCCCACCTCTATCCCACCTCTATCCCCCCAGATCTCCCCCGGATCCACAACAATGCTCTCCAAACCCCCAACACGAGCTCTGCGAGGACGTGAAGAAAGCCATGTCTCAAACCCCACCTGGATACGGTTACACAAGCAAGAGTAGGGGTACTTTTAAACATCACTAACCAATACAATTCAATGTATTCTTGTAGAGCCATAAATCACGACAGTAGTTATCTCACAGGACTTAACAAAACAGTTGAAATCGCCACCACAGATTAGAGAATCAAACAGTTCAAACTAAAAAAACAGAGAACACAGGTATTGGTCCATAGAGGGAGTTGACCAATGTGCACATGAGAAATGTGAAAACTGTATAGAATTTTTGATACAGTTGAGATCATAACAGATATCAGTCGGGCCCATCTTGCCTTTGTCACCTAAAAAATAAGGGCTACCTCTTTTTGAATTCACGAAGGAGCAGGATTTGAGGGATTGCAGTAATTTGACATCCTTTTGTACCTCAACAAAGGATATTAGTGTACTTTTAGAAGACTGAAGATACTATACCCTCAAAAAGGTCCAAGTCCAGGTCTCCTTATATAAAATAGTTCAGTCATGACCACCAAATTTACCACAAATATCCGCTCTTCTACTATACATATCGACTGACAAATTCGATCCAAAAAAACAAATAGTTGTGAAAACATTGACGATAGAACATATTTCATCTGAACATGTGGCAACAAATTGGACTCGAGATGGAAACGTCAATCGCATATGGGAAACCAAGTGTCCGGGGAGGAGTACAAAAGCTTGCGAAAAGGGGGACAAGAAGTGGGGGAGTAAATGAAACTTGAACGAACACTATAGAGATGGTTAGGGTCAAATGAATTGAGATACATGTGGGTTTATATGGATTCTACGCTGCCATCTTTAGGGGATCAAAGCGCTGTCATACCACGTAATTGAACAAATACATGCAGCCAATATTTCCCTTATGTGTAGTCCCGGTCGTTCCCTTGTGTTATAAATGTACATGAACTGATAGACACTCTTATATTAGCTGGGAACTGCGTTTTTTCTAACCTTTTGATTCATACATGGGGAAAAGGGTTGTCCTACGATTTATAAAAAGGTTGTGAAGGAATTTTAAACGAGATAAGATAGAACCACTCAGATTGTGCAAAAGACAGAGGTGTGCAAACATGTAGAAAAGCAAAAACAATTCAAGCCTCTTCAGAATATCCCAATGAATATCGAAGGAGCGCATTTACACGTTTTTTGATGATAGCCGATCTTTGTACGTATGAAAAATGTAGGCTACACCAGCTTCGCTAACCCCCCATGATCAGAATCAGAATCAGAATCAGAATCATTTTTATTGCCAACGTAAGTAACAGGAGGTCACAGACTTGGAAATTGCTTTGGCTCAGTGCAACAGTCAAAAAGAGATAATAAAAATAAGAATAAAAAACACTTCTAAAGAATAAATTTAAATTTAAAATAGAGTTACAGTTACTATTTACAATATACAAGTGCACATGGTGCACACAATGTAAGGTGAAAGTGACGTATGATGGGCAGTAAAGTGACTTTATAAAGGGCGGGGGGACAGGTTAAGAAGTGTTCAAGAGTCCAACAGCAGAGGGGAAGAAACTGTTCTTGTGGCGGGAGGTTTTAGTCCTGATGGACCGCAGCCTCCTGCCTGAGGGGAGTGGTTGGAATAGTCCATGTGCAGGGTGAGAGGGGTCGGCTGTGATACGACCAGCCCGGCCTCGAGCTCGGGCGACGTACAGGTCCTGCAGCGATGGAAGGCTGCGGCCGATCACTTCCTCTGCAGAGCGCACAATGCGCTGTAGTCTCTGTTTGTCCCTGACTGTGGCTCCAGCGAACCACACGGTGACGGAGGAGGTGAGGATGGACTCGATGATGGCCGTGTAGAACTGCACCAACATCTGTGCAGGCAGCTTGGCTTTCCTGAGCTGCCGCAGGAAGTACATCCTCTGCTGGGCCTTCTTGATGAGGGAGCTGATGGTCGGCTCCCACTTGAGGTCCTGGGTGATGGTGGTGCCCAGGAAACGGATGGATCCAACTCAATCTCTTTTCATTTTTTTTTTACATTTCCTCCCATATCCCTCTGTTTTCTTGCTCTTCTTGGAGATATGGAAAGCGGAAACGATAGCAAGCGAGGCTATAGGCAAAAGAAAAGCGGCATATATATACAGATGCGCGCTCTTTCAAGTGTCCGCGGTCTGTACACTGCCGATTACATTGCGTGCGGCGGCGAGACAGCTTTTCCAATCTGGTTCCCGAGTGGGAGAAGACAGGTTGAGAATAAGCGGGTTGCTGGTTAGCTGCATTAACTGACTTGGGCCTGCGTGGCTGTGTCTGCTGCCTAATCCCCCTCTGTTAACATGGCAGGATGGCGGAGTGTGGCGCTTGTTGATAGGGAAGTGCTCCTGCCGCTCGCAAAGACACTTGCCCTCCCATATGCAGCGACAGTCACGCACTGCACTTCGCTTCGAGTAAAACTGAAACGGACAAACGGGAATGTGTCTTTACAGGGAGACTTAGTTTGTGATGTGTGGGATGGCCAGATGATGGAAGGGACTAGAGTGGATTTTGTGGATTATGAAGCACAATTTTGGTTTGGAAAAGCCATTGCTAGGAAGCGCGATGTTTGATTCTGGGGGCGTTTTGAATATAACAACAAAATAATAGCATTCATTTTGAACCCAATTCATTGTGTAGTGAGATTTTACAAACAGCTGCCCTCTGATAAACACAATTTCTAATCTCCAACCACCACCACTCGGTTGGTGGTGGAACGTCTCTTTTAGGGCAACAATATTGGTGATATTCTGTGGGGAAGCAGAGTGTCAAAATTAGAGGCAGACTCGAAATATTAAAAGATGTAACCCATTGGTTTATTCCATAAAATATACAAAGGAAATACTGTGCACAGAGCTTTGTTTGTCTTCGGGGTGTCTCCCCCTTGACGAGGTTCACATTTGAGATTAAAACATAGTGGCTCTGCCCACAGGATACAAATGGCTGACTAAGACACACCCTCTTTTACTGGTAAGGATTACATTGATGACAAAGTAGCATTAAAAGGGACATAGTAATCCACTTTGTCACAGATGCATTTACAGTATCTACGAACCGAGAGCCATTCTCTGAAAAATGTCATCATTCAAAACCAACTAATATTCAAAGCCTAAACCATTATTGTACCTAGTCTAAAAGAGGTGAAAAGCTAAAACAAAGTCCACAACACAGTTTTAAAACAAGTCTACTAACTTCCCATTTAAACCTTGTGCTACCCTCGGGTCAAAATTAATGACAACAGTGATTAAAAGTAGAAGGGTCTAAAAGGGCCTAAATGACCCAGGGCTGGTCAAGTAAAAAAAACTATTATTTAGGGTACTGTATATTTGAATCACTGTGGTGGCAATTAGCAAAAGCAGATTTGTCTGATACAGTGAAACATCATGACAAAGTGCTGACATAGAAGCATCACCTTAGCAAGAAGTGCATTATTTGATTTCATTTCGGCCCAATTCATTGACGTCTATTATACAAATTGACACTGGTGTGTACTTGAAACAAGTAAAAGACGAAAATGTGTCTTGAATCGAAGACATAATTCCAAATGATTGTAAAAAGTGGCTTGTACTTGATAAATCCTCTTCAATGGTTCACGTGTTTGCACTTTGACAGATCTTTCTTGTTGCGTTCTAACCTTTTTGCCAGTGCTTTACCAGACAGCGTGTTTTAAGCCATCATATCATCCCCAACCTCGCC